TGAAATCGATAGGGAGGGGGGAACTGGGGGGGGGGGGAGGGGTTGTGGTAATAAACTAGTAAAAACAGTAAAATGAAGTGTTAAACTGCGATGAATTAGAAAACTAAAGACAAAAATGTTTAAATTTCCTTCTGAAACGTAATACGTAGCAACTGCACTAAACATGTAATGAGATAACTTTGAACAAAATTGTAATTATCATGAAAAAACCCCTCGAAAAAATCCATTATAATCGATTATAACCGATTATAATGGATTTTATTGGCATAGAAAATATTAGGATTATAAAACATTATTAATGGATTATAATCGATTATAATGGATTGTATTGACAAAAAAAATATTAGGATTATAATCCATTCTTAATGGATTATAATCGATTATTTTGTCGTTTTATAGATACTGACCATATTATGACAATATAATCGATTATGATCCATGGGCGCTCGGTGCGGGCCGAAAGTCAAACTGAAGTCTCTTCACAACTTAGATTTGATGAAGCTATTTTTGAAATGCAAAAATTTATTCAAATAAAAACACAACCATCTGTGAAACCAAAAATCCTCAGACCTGGGCACATGAATTGAGTCTCATTACAAAAAAAATTAATAGTGATAAAATACAGACAGATTATAGTTTTTATCGTAATTCATTTGAACCACATAATTAGTCGGCGTTAACAAAGACGTAGTTTTTTGTCGCAAAAAATTTTTATCTTATAACGTTGAAAACAAATGAAATGACCATTCACTGGAAAATCTGGACAATTCTTTTTTGAAATATTACAACGATGTTTTTGCTGAACGATCTGTTCACAGTCAAATTTTTCTGTTTTGGTTAGTTAAACTCGAATTTCAATATCTGGTGTCACATGCAAAAAAGGTGAGTTTGTTGAGAGGAAAGCCTCAACTTGCGGTGGTCTCTGGTTGCTCCTTTTTCAACCAATCAAAAGATGCGCTGGTTTTCTTCAGAGCACACGCTTTTTTTAAATTGAATTGCTATCAAGTGATTTGAGCTGATCATCTTGTACTGTTGCAATTAAAACCTTCTACGCTTGTACATCCTTAGTCCTCCGAGTTTTCTACTTTCCTATCTGGATAATCAGACAGCAACTCGGTTTTATATCAACCCTTGGCGCAAAAGGTCCGGATTGGGTTTTGCAATTTAAACGAACATGCAGAACACTAATCCTGATAAAAAAGGCAAACAAATTGTTATTAAACAAGTTTCTTAACTCTCATAAAACATCAAAAAGATTCTTTTGCCCAATTTGTGCAACCCGTTTTATCTTTTACAGCAGAAAGACAAAAAAATTGTTTTTGATAGTTTTGGAAGATCGTGAACAAGTAAATTGCATCTTTTGTGGCACAAAACCTCACCCACAAAATCAGTATAGTCTGGCGTCTAAGGAAAAAACTAATCCGCCAATAGAAAAGCCAAAACAGCATCACAACGCAGATTAATCTGAATAATGAGCGAGTCAAATTCAAGAGATGCCCCAAGCTTAGTCCATTTTCTTGATATCTCCCCATCCCCCACTAAGCCAACAAAACCGCGCATGGAGGCGGTATATAGTTTACTATCTACTTTCGTGATCTATCTTTACATCGTGTCTCTATCTTTTTGAAGAAGCAAATAGCGCTGCAATCCGCTGACTAATTTAGAAGGTTCAATTGCGCTGGAGATCAAAAGTCACTTCAAAAGGGAACATCAGATTATTTTTATTACACATTCATAACTACTCGAGATCCCAGAAAGCTAGCCATTCCAAGGTTGACAATAAATACTTATTATGAACTTCCAATCAATCGACAAAATTTTCAAAGGAATAAATTGTAAAAAATCATCTAGTGTTTTGTCCAGAAATGAAACTTAGTATTTTCACAATTAACTCTACGTAACAATTTGATTGTGAAGTGATGTTCTTGTGTAAAATTCAATTTTGTTTTAATTGCGACAGCCATTACGAGGCCAAAATGTAGATTTTGCGAATTTAATTATAAGTGGAGTCCGCAACGGGGCGAAACAGTTCTGTAGCGGAGTCGGCGACACTGCTACTTCTTTAATTTCTCTGATGTATTAGATTCCACGAACATTTCTAATTAGCTAAAACATTGTGTTGCTCAAAATTGCTCTGCAATAAGCTCATTTTGCGGACCTTGCAGCAAATAATGCGGAACCTGAAACAGATTGTGGAAACCATGCACAAACTACTTATATGCGTATTGTAGCGGAGTCATGGAGTCCATGAGTGTAAGCGGAATCCGCAAAATGTACGCTGATCTCGCATTTTGTTTGGTTTGCAATAAAAAAATGTATACAACAAACTAAAGTTTAATCTGTTTTTCTTCAGGGAGACTTTCAATTTAGTTCAATCTCACTTACTGCATTTTTTCGATTTCATCTCATATACTAACAACAGTTCAAAATTCAGTACAGGTTAATTCAATCTCAACCACTGCCCATAATCCAACTCATTTGCCCACAGCAGTTCAATTCAGTTTAATTCCAAATGCTAAATCTCAAACACTGAAAGAATGAAAACCAAATACGGAAGACCAAAAACACCAATCTCAAATACTGAAACAAGAAAAACCAACCGAACTAAAATAATTCATGGATTATTTATTTTGAAAAATTTAACTTAACTGGCCTTCATAATTTTATTTGCCAGATTATTTTGTGCAAAACTCACATTCTTTTTCAAATTTCAATTCGAATTTCAATTCGATTTAAGAGATAACATCGTATAGACTAGGACAAGAACAGTTTCAAATGATACTTTTATATGCTGATAATACAATATAATTAGATTAGGTTTTAGAATATAACAGAATGATTAGGTTTAAGCTTAGAGTCTTAAACTCATGCATATTACCAAGCGACTCAGTGATGCATGAAAATGTTTTGCTTAATCGATACTGTGAGGTTTTTCCCAAACAATGATTTCCAAAACAGCTTGCTGAAAAATTGATCCCAAATACTTAAAGGGTACACCCTCGATTCCAGTTTAACAATGATTTCAGATTTTTTATAGTTTCCAATGACAATGGTTAAGTCCTTGCTTTTGGTCTCCCTATCTGCTATATATTATTTCTAGCTCTCAGTTTTAATTGTTAATGAGCAAGAACTGGTTTAGTTCAGTTTAAGAATTAAAATTGCCGAATCCCGCTCAAAATTTGCGGAATATGCGTACTTTTTTGAATTCTGCTCACAAATTTTGCTGATTTCACATACATTTGCGGAATTCAATTACATTTCACGAAATCTGATATTCCTAAAAAGAGTTCACGGAATTTTCGTGACTAGAATCCACTTACATTTCGAACATGTGTCAAGACCGTGCATGATTTCCATTGACATACAAACAGCAATTTAGGCGCCTAACTATTTGTTCATCTGATCATTTTTATATAGACAATCTGAAAAATCATGAGAAAAGATCGAGTGGTATACCAAAAAACAGACTAGGTTTGTGATTTGAACGACATTTATAAAAACCGAAAAACTTTCTCAATGTCGAGATTAACACAATTCACCTTTGCTTTTCAGTCTACTTTCAAATTGAGTGAGCAATTAGGATGCGCAAAGCACTTATTAGTTTACAAAACGAGTTTTGAAGAGTTGAATTATCATTTATTATAATTATCATTATCAAGCATAAAATATCAAGAAAAATTTGATAAATTTGAAGAAAGATTCGAGATTAGTGAAGTAAACATTTTTTTTCAGAGTAAGTTTTTTCTTCTACCTGCACTCAGGAAAACGCAATTTTCGACACGAAAAAATCTTAACATGATCAGAAAACTCCATGCCTGTTGCACAGGAACCGGCTATCTTTGCTATCTTTAGGCTTATTTGTTGTACTTTAAAGGTCTCTCTATCACTGCATAGTCAGAAATGCTTTCGTTTTGACCAATGAAGCTAGGAAGAGTGTTTGTCTTCGAGTGGGTTTCGAATGTTTGGTGTTAGTAATTACAAGCAAAATCAGTTAATAAATACTTAACAAATTGAATTGATTGATATACTAAAACAAAACTTTTCCAAATTGTTAACTGAACAATACAAAGTGAAATGCATTGATTTCGTAGATCTGATCAAACATCAAATAGATTTTTCCAAAAGTTGTGCACAGGTTTGATAAATTGGGCAGATGAGTAAAAAAATCAGGTATGATAACTTATTTTTACGCTTGGTAATTTTAAATTTTGATGTATTTTTAGCCCTTTCTTGAATTTTTTTAATTGATAAAGAAGCATTTTTTTGTAGTTTTTGTTGTTTTTTATTAATCTATTGGCCTAAGTTCTGAGTTTTTATCTCATTACACCATGAACAAAACACGGCTCAATGAAGAAAAAGACTATTATTATCATGACTATTGTGTTCTAACCTGTTCTGTACTTGCTCACCAATTGCTCATTGTTTGAAAATTGAGTTCAAACCTCGGATGATTTTTATTTAAACCGCTTAAAAATAAACACTACATTGAATCAAATATTAAAAATATGTTTAATCATGGCAATCAAATATGTTTAATCTAGGTGAGTAGTTCCAATGTTTACAGTTTTATGTCATTTGTAGACAAAAATTTTGGTTAATATTTATCATTATGTTCCAGCTCAAAACAAGGTAATAACAGCAAAATGTTAGCTGCTTGAACATTCTGGAAACTTTTGTAGTTGCAGCGCTAGTGTTTTATATTCAGTGTATACTTGGATAATTAATGTCCAAAATGTCTGTTTATTTTTTGCAGATTGATTAAACTCATGATTGAGCTTCAAAATCTTATGATTATTAGATATTCTTTGATCGATATTTCTCCTGGCTTCTAATTTTTCAATTCAGCCAACGCGGATCATTGTAATCTCACTTGATGCAAGCGTTATCTTTTCTTCTTTATCGTTATAGAAACTCATTTGTACAATGCTCTCCAAGTTCTCTGAAGTAGTCCTGTTTCCGTTGAGCATCACATTCTGACTCTCTCTCTTCTCTTTTGTCATTTACGCCCCGTGAGGGGGCCTTGATTCCCAGTTTCCAGGACATGTGATCCTGTGTCTTGAAATGTTGTTTTTTGTCACCCAAGTACCGCATTCTTTGCATTGGATTCTGGCTCTCGTTCCGGCGAATCGTCCTGTGATAATGGTGTTGGTTACTTCTGGGGCTGTCGGGTGCTCTCCTCGACAAGTCCTCCGGTGTCTTGCCATGTTGCTCAACGACAGGGACTTCTGACACTTCGGACAGAACCCACCCTGACCTCCTTGGCAACCTTTGAAGTGGTTCGTCAGAGCAGCCTGGTCCGAAAAACTGTCGTTGCACTTTGGACACTTGTAGTCCACTGACTCCCTTCTGTGTGCTTTTCTCTCGTGATTCGTCCGTCCTCCTTTTGATGCGCACTTCTTGTCGCATCCGTCCCAGCGACAAGGCCAACCACTGTCACTTATTCTCTCTCGATTCCATTGTGAGTGGGCCGGTTTTTCCGATCCTCTGTGCCAGTTGCACATTTGCGTCTCTCAGTTTTTGAGGAACGTCCTGCGATCTGTAACGGTCTTCTTCCATCGTTTCCGGTCATTGGCGAGGTTCTCGCTGTTGTCGTCTTCATGTCCCGCTTCTTTCAGCAGTCTGCGCCAGTACTGGAGGGTGTTACCTCACGAGTTCCCACTGCGTGTCCTCTCCATGTCCCAGGATCCGAGGACGGCTTTCTTCACAATCCTCTCATCCGACATTCTGAGAATGTGGCCCATTCGCTCTAATGCTCTGCACTAGATCTTGGTCCTTATCGATTCAATGTTCAGCTGTCTGCGGATCTCGTAGCTGTTGACTCCTTCAGTCTGCATCCTGATCAGTGTGAGAGGTTTTCCATTGTTCCACACAAACCTGTAGGCTCTGTCTGCAACGCTCTGGAACTTCTGGATGTCGGTCGGTGTCCATGCTCTAACGCTACAGTCGAACAGGAGAGTGGACTCCACTACGGCTTGGACCACCAATGCTCTGGTGCGCTTGGAGAGGCTCGAATTCCAGAGCCATTGCTTCCCTCTGCTCCACGCGTAGTACCCTCTCTTAATCCTGGCTCCTCGGTCTTCTCGTTTCCCGATGAGGGTTCCCAGCATTCTAGTCTTCTGGGCGCTGGTTGTTGCAAAAACGATGGACTCTTCTTTGCCGTCGTGGCATTTCTCTTCAAACTCCATCATTTTATTCTTGATCTTCTCTTTCCCTGTGACGAGCTATTCGGTCCAACCAACTAGAGAGGTGTCGTCTGCGAACAACGAGTCCTCCAGGATGAAATTACACTTGTTGCTGCTACGCAATGCTCTGGGCGCTTCTCTCGGTGGGAGGCTGCCTCCTGGTGTCCACATCCAGGAAAACCGCACTCTTGGCCTCTATCCGCCGCCTCCTTTCTCCGTTCTCTTTCAGCTCTTCTTATTGCTTCGGCATGGTATACGTTGAAAAGGATAGGTAATGTTGCGCACCCCTCTCTGAGTCCTCTGGCGGGGGCCCAATCATCGCTGAGACCTTCCTTTCCTTTCACCCGGTATCGCGTTTCTTCATGGAGACCTTTCAGCAGGTCGAGCACCTTGTCCGTCATGCCAAATCTGGCTAACATACCCCACAGAAGGGGTTTGTTGGTGCGAGGGTAAGCCTTGGTGATGTCTAGGAGGACAGCCCCTGGCCGGTTTTCGTTGCACTCGTCTGTCATCCCGTACACTCTTCTTGTTTCTTCTTCCATCCGGATAATGATCTGCGTTGAGTCAGCCGTAGACCTTCCACCACGGAAAACGTTCTGGTTCTCATCCAGAACGCCAATGGTTTCTGCCCATGTCCGGAGTCTCGTCGCGAAAGTCCGTGCGATCAGTCTGCTTGCCAGTGGTAACAGGCACACTCCACGGTAGTTGCCCAGGTCGTTCTGGGGACCTTTCTTGTGCAGGGGAATGACCCAGCCTTCCTTTATTTCTTTCTTGTGCAGGGGAATGACCCAGCCTTCCTTTATTTCTTCTGGCTTCATGTCTATCAACCGCACAATCATCCTGTGGAGCTGCTGCTTAATTGGTTTGCTGGCCACCTTTACTGCTAGCATCCGAACTCCGTCGTTCCCTGGTGCTCCAGCCCTCATCTAGGCCAACTCCGTTTCAAACTCCCTCCACGTGACCACTCTCTCCAGTTCAATGGCCGCTTCCAGTGCTGTCTGGTCGGTGCGCTCGGGGATCTCTTCCAGGGTCTTAACGATCTCGTCTCGTCTTCTTTCGTATCTGTTCTCTGATACTTTCATAAAGTGACTTCGGAAACCTTCGGGGCTGAACGTTTCGTCCTCAAAGGTGCAGTTGTCTCTGATTCCAATACGCTTCGGCGTCTTGTACAGCGTCCCGATGTTGCCTTGGAGTTCTGCCTTCCTCGCGTCTTCGACAATTTCTATCCACCACTCTTCTTCCCACCGTTTCTTCGCTTTTTTGTAGTCTTTCCTGGCCGTCTTCCGTTCTTCTCTCGCTGTCAGGATGTTGTTGTTCATTTCCTGGGTAAGTCGAGAGATAAGGTTCTGAAAGTTGTCGATCTCTTCCAGGTGAGTATCTAGCCACGGGCTCAAGTTCCGTTTCGCTTTGGAACCACAGGCTAGATTTCCCGCTTTCTCGAACAGCTTCATTGCGTCGTTCCAGTCTTCCACTGAATCCTCCGGATTTTTCGGAATTTCGCTGCCACTTCTGGGATCTTCAGCCTGTCCCAATCCACAGTCCGTATGCGCTGGACCTTCGTCGAACCGTGGTGGCGCTTCTTCTTGTCTTCCAGAGTGCAGGTCATCCTCTTCGCCCGGTGGTCGCTCAGTTTGTTCACTCCCAACGTGCTGAAGTTGACGACTCTTCGGCTTCTCTCCTTCTGCTTAACCAGAAAGCCGTCTAGCTCGTGCCAGCTTCCATTCGCCGGGTTCTTCCACGTTCCTCTGTTCTTGTGTTGGAAGAACGAGTTCACCCACGCTAACTGGTTGGCGTGGCACTACTCGATCAGGTCCACTCCTGCAGTATTCGTCTTGCCCAGCCCGAACTTCCCTGCGACTATGTCTCTGTTCCGTTCTCTGGTGTCCCCCACGCTAGAGTTGAAGTCTCCGCCGATCACCAAGAGGTTCTGGGTTATCATCATATCTTCCAGTTCCTCTCTGTATCTGGCGAAATCGTCCGTTTGTCCTTCCCACAGAGGTTGGTACGTGGCCACGAACCTCACTCCGCTCACATCCACTGCCGTGTTTCTGTCGCCACACTGTCTCTTGTATCCTTGTTCCTTCCACTCCACCGCCCACAGGTCTCTGAGGAACACTCCGCTCTTCTTTCCATGGATGAGGACTCCATAGAGATCGCCTGCTTTGATCCACTTGATTCCCTCTACCGTTTCGCAAAGCTCTGTGAATAGCACGACTTCCGCGTGGCTCTTCGCCACTTCTCGGAGCATCTCAGCGAATCTGCTCCGACGGGGGAAGGCTACTCTCGCTCTCTGGATGTTCCAAGTCCATATGCTCGTTCGTTTCTTCTTGCCCATGCGTTTGGCGTTTTCCGTCCACTTTTTGTCTCGCTTCTCCTGTCTCTTCTGTCTTCTTCGTTGTTTTTGTGCACGCTTCTTGGCCCACTTCTTGGCGTTTCTCTGGGGCTGATCCACGTGTTCGTTACTTTCGGCTCGTGGTTCCACGGTTGGTTGTTCCACCGTTTCCGTTTGACCGTCATCGGCATGCGGCTCCTGGGGGGTGCAGCATTGTGCTCTGAACGACGTGCTCCACCTCCCGTCTTCTCCGAGCGAGGTGGAATTCCATTGGGTCCACTTCTTGCATCCATTGCATTTGACTGACCACTCTGTCTTCTGGAATCCCTCGTTGCATATTGTGCACCTCAACTTCGACTTCGCCGGTCCTGGGTTGACCTCCACATCATGACACATTTTCATTCTTGCCATTACTTCCACATGGCGCTTCCTATTTGCTGGGATGTTGATTGCCTCTAATTTCCCCCCATGGTCGGCTACTCCGTGGGTGAGTTGTTGACGGGTGAAGTATCGCCCGACAGTGTGGCCTAGGCTAAACACACTGTCGGGCTCCTCTCCCCCCCCCCCCCCCAGGTTTGAGTTTTGTGATCTGCGAAAATCCACAGGTCTGCGCTTTTCCCCCCGAGCAGGGACCAAACCATCGAGAAGCCACATTCTGACAGTTTTTAAACCATCAACCTCCTCCTCCTCCTCTGATTGAAGCACAGTTTCCGTTATAACTGTCGTGATCTCTATCATGAATACTGAAGGCTTGTCCATTATGACAGTCGAAGCCGCTTGCTAAACCAGTGGTGTTCACCATGTTGTCACTCTTAGCCACCATTGGGCCGAATGATAGACAAGCAAAGGGAATAGTGTGAACCTTGAAGTCTAAAACGTTTGTCCTCTTGCAACCAAATTTATATCGTTTTACACAGAAACACCCAGACAATTTATCATGATTATATAACTTTGAAACTTTAAGAAAAAACATTACGATGAAATCAAAAATGGGGGTAATAAATCATGTTAAATCATTTGAATGAAAGAAAAATGTTTGTCAAAATCTTATATATTGGAAGTCTTTGGTTTGAACGAATCATTACACTAAGATGAAAACATGTCAAATTATAAAAAGCTTACATTTGCACTGAAAAATTTTTGATTTCGTGTGAGCACATTTTTTTTGGAAATACTATGATTTTTTTGACTGAGAACAACTCAAAATTTTTGTAAAAAAAATTCCAGCGGACGTTTAGTTTTCCACCGTCTTCCTTTAGTTTTTTACGATCAGGGTAAAATTGTGATGAAAATTATTGTGTGAGCAGATCAAGCCATGCCAAATATATTGGGCCTTCAAAATTAAACTATTAAGACCAACTGTAAACGCCAAAAAATAATCATCTTAGGTGGGGACAGTAGAAAATGTCTATTTGCAAACAAGTCACTATACTTCGCCTGAGCAACTTTTGAGAAAGTGATGATTTTTTTGCTTAAGTTAAATTTTTATCTTAGACTTATTTCCCATGTCATTATAGATCCTTTAGAAAAAACTGAATTTTGAAGAGGTTTGAAGACCAACCTTACTTCCCTAAAGAATCAGGTTTTGCAAGCAATATTATAAGGGTTACTCACGAAAAATGATAAATTGATAACAAAAAAATTCCAATGTTTTTTATTATATAAGGCGAGAAGCGATATAACTGACACTGGGAACGGCTTGCACCGAACCTCCACTAAAAGTTGTGAAGTTATAAAGTTCTTTTTTTTCAGTTTGAACGATAACTGTTGGCGTTATTTCAAGTAGAATTTGGGTTTGACATGTGTCACATACATTGAAATGTGTAGAGTGCACTATTTCGTAACTTCGGGTTCTAGTTGATGTGCTTTAGACGACCGATGGAAAACATTTCACTCGGCCTCATAGAGTCACAAGTGATGTAGTTTTCGTTGAAAAGCAGGCCAAAAACAACACCCGGGTAGTCCTCTTGGAATTCTGGAGAGAAAA